ATATGACTAAGAACTCTTTTGTCTCGTAAAACCCCTCACTAAAAAGTTCTTAAGCCAAAAGACACCTATTCAAAGTAAGTGAGACACCCCTGTATAAATCTGTCCCGACTAGACTACTGTAATTGACATATTTATTACAGAATAAATAACTCTAGAGTCGCGTAAATTAGGATTCAGAGCTCTCTAATTTAGCATTTGTATTGCTCTACTGTTATCCGATTTCAGAGGAGAGTTTTATATGGTGTTTTGTAACTTTTTTCAGAGAATATCTCTGGGTGGTTTGGTGTAAAAACAGAATCGAAATATGTAATCCTAACAAAGTTTAGTTTCGGTTATTTTGTACTTATTATTTTGTTGAAATGTAAAGGTTTTATAAATAGATGCAGCAACAAGGATCTCTCAGTAGGACCATAAAAGAGGTCCTTTTAAAACACCGCCACAAATAAAACGTCTGTCGATACAGCCTTGCCAACACCCCAATAACCTACATAGTGGGTGTTGGAACACTGGCACAATAAAAAATAGTAAAAACCATAGATTTTATTTTATTACTCTGTTAGTGACAAACTAAGGAACATGTCAATAAGGACACTAAAATTTAATTTCGTCATATTATACCTCTTACAAGGAATCGAATTTACGTATCTTCTTTGGCGATTGTTTCTAGTCCATAAAGATCGTACGCGATAACCCTATCTGTTAGTGTCGTGTCGCTTATTCACTATCGATAGTCGATCATCGGTATCGATAAATTCACGATCGTAAAATGTTTGACCCTCGAGGTTGGCACGATTTATCGATTAGAAAATGTATGTAAATATTATGAGTATCGATATTTACATGTTGCAGGGAATCATTGAATTAGAATAATCTTGTTAGTCTTGTTTGAAAGTGCGTAACTTAAGATTGAAATATTAAATTGCATGTGTGCATGCATGCTTTCTCATAAACTTGCCGGTAGGAACTTACCTTTATTCAGTCAAGTTGAATAACTCACGAATCTTTTCATAAAGAGACAGCGAGTAAGTTATCAAAGTACAACTGGCTACTTTATGAAAGTAACTGCAGTATATTTGCTTCTAATATGGGCATATTTTTGAGTCTTTTTCATACTGTAAAGTAATAAACCTCACCGTATTAATGGATACAAATTTATGCCTACATAACTGTCTCCTAGAAACTTATGCGACGCCGTAATTTCTCCAACAAAAGATTTAATTCTCGATTTAAATTAATCTTATCTACAAAATTAACTTTATCGATATCCGAATTGCTTACGATCAATCTCTAGAGCCCTTATCGTTGCCTACCTCTCACAGGGTGCCCTCTGAACCAATTTCGTAAACGAATCCTATAACTATTATAGGAATGGGTCCCTGTATCGATAAGATAGTATATATTATGACGATTGCTTCATAGGTGCGATTTAAATCGATAACAACGTGTGCCACCTGCCTTAATTGAACTATTAGTAACGGTTTATATTATCTATGGCTGATAGAACTATAATTAGATAAAAACCGTTTATAGGCAAAGGACACCGGTGGTAGAGCCTCCTTAATTAAAATGCTAAGTACATTACACCTCATTTGTAAGACAATTAGATGTAAAGTTTATTGCTTGATAAATACTTTAGTGATATTTTTGTTCGGTTTTTTTATAACTCACGATAGAAGGAACAGCTAAGTACATAATTTTTTTAATAAAAGATACTCAACAATCATAGTTCAGACCTGTCTAAAAGTCCAAATAGTCAGAACCCTATAAAAAAATCCCTTACAAGGCATTGCAAAAATCGCCACCCACAAGTAAGAATCAAGTAGCAAGTTTCCATGCCAAGAATCTAGGGACAAAGAAATAAACAAAACGAAATATCTAGTAAACATTATGTAAATTGTAACCAATAAGTTGTAAAACAGATAATTAACAGACGTCATGTCGCTTTACAAATTCAATTATGTCTTTTACGATAACCGTTTAACAGTAAACACATATTATGATACAGAAAGGGATAGATATTAATAACATATAGTAGAGCTTTAGGGTAAATAGCTAGTAGCGACCTCTAGCGGTTCATTCTGAAGTTAAAATTGCAGCGCTGCCAACTTAAAAGCGCGCCAATTTATGTTCCTGGTTGGTATTGGCGCGAAAATTTTGGCGCCACGTTTCGAACGTCCAATTGAGGCTTTTTTGTTATAATATTGGTTTACTTGATAAATATTGTTATTGTTGTCTCTTCGAGTATCTGGAATTCTTCGAGTATTGTTAGTGAAATGCTCTTTAAATCTATCGTGACTTATTTCACATTTTAAGTTATACTTAGTCGCCCTGTATGTAAATAAATTTGTCAAATATCCAATCGTTTATCGAAATAATGGGCGTGCGTCGCGTAAGTAACTAACACTCGATTTAATTACATCATAAACAAATGCGCAACATTACCACATTTTAATCTACAGCATGTTTAATTATAACAAACTTGGCTACACACCTTTAGGAACTTCAAACTCCATGGGTGGTACACAGCACTATTTACAAGCCACTCTTTTGAACCGATAGCATTCCATTGCGCATTTAGTAAAGAACCACCGACCAATCACTAGTACCGCTGCCGCTTCCTACATCAAACTACTGTTGATTGTCGAGTGCGCCAGTAAAATTTAATGTGCAACATTTGTTTAGTTAACCACGCTGAGATTTAAATGTGTATGAGTAGTTAGCTTTAGTAACTGTCTCTGTTGAAGTATTTAGAGCATGGGTAGCTAAACTACAGGAGTTTTGGTTCAGATACACGTATCACCCATTTTCTATGACAATAGGAACAGCTGCCTGTATCAACAACTAGGAAGCACTAATTTGAGTCTAGTTTATGTACTGCTGAGATGTATAAGACTAACGAAGTGACCTAGTAACAATAAAATTGCATGTAGTATTGTAGTCATATAGGGTGAATGATTGCAAAAGACTGAATCTTTATTTTAGTACGACGAATCAATGAAATTACATATAACGATACAGCTCTTTTTATCCCTAGAAGGGGCAGGCAGAGGTGCGCATTTCGGCACTTAATGCTACTGTGAAATATAACAGCCACTTTTCACTATTTATCTTGTGTCCCATGTAATAGGGGGTGAGCCTATTGCAAGCCGAGTACAATTCCAGATTCCGTGCTACTCTGAGATTTTTTTAAAATCCATTAATGTTCTGCACGACCCTGGAATCGAACCCGAAACCCCTTGCCCGGCAGTCGCACTTGCGATCACTCGGCCAATGAGGCAGTCAATGAAATGAATAGAAATGATATTTTGATCTGATGTATAGAAGAATCTAAACATACAAGACAAAACACATTGTCTCATTGCAGATTTAAAGTTTCATTTTGGTTAGAACGCCCCAATCTTCCAACCAAAGAAAAAAAGAATAAAAGCAGACGAGCCACTAACGCATCGTCACCTTTTACAATTTCTTCCTACCTTCCGAATACTGTAGACATATTCCAGAAGTTTTAAGCCGGCTTAACTCGTCGAGTACCGGTTTTATAGACACAATTATAGAACAATAGGTTGCGGTCACCGGTGACCGCTTGGTGTTTGACAGTTTAAGAAAGAAACAGATGAGAGAAACCTAAAGACAGACTATAAAAGTACCTATAAAAGATAGAACCTATGCAACCGCAAGTACAGCAAAACTGGTACCGCCCAGGAAGCCAAAGGTTTCTCTACACGGCCAAAGAAAGGAAAGTTCGTAAAAAATGATTTATATGCACAGGAACAGTGTATAATTGAATACGCATATTCATAAACGATTCATTACCTGTGGGAGTGTCGATGTCCAACTGGCAACATGTTAGAAGTTAGAAAAGTGAGGTTAACTGCTGGGTGGATTTATGATGCAGGAAAGTTAGGGTGAACTTGCTTCTTTATTTTCTGTGTCCAAAAACCAATACGTGTGGACATTTTCAATTCATCATTTATTTTTTCTCGTTTTAGTGGACGTAGCAATCAATTTTGGTTTAGTTTAAAACTTCACAAAAGTACCTAATATGATACAATAGCAAATAGTATATGATGTATGTAACAATGTAGTTAAAACCTCCTTGTTATTCCGAAACATAACTGCACGACTATAATTAAGTGTCTCGGAAGTAACATAAGTTAAGTCTACGTTAGTCTAGTATAAGCCTCAAGCTAAACTCTGAATGGATAGTATACAGTCTATATGCGAGAATCAAATATATCTTTGGCAATTACCCCTTTAACTTTTTATTGGTTACCAATTCCCAAAATGAAATGATGATAGATATAAAAATATTTGAGTCTCAATTTGTAAACTTGTTCGTTGATGTCTACCACATGAAATACAAATCAACGGCACATCGAGATGTAAACGGCACTTACTAAAGGACTTCCAATAGGACAAATTGCTAACACCATAAATCTGTGGCGTAATAATTTTCACCCACCGGCCACCGGCCGCTGTAACCCGCCAACCATCGCAGATTGAATTTAATGTCCTCGATATTATGTGTCTTGGGACAATTTAAGAGGCATTAGCACACCCTACAGCGATTCTCTTATACATATTTATGAATAAAACAACCAATTTGTATTGCTCGTGCACCCGGCTCAGCAGCCATAACGGCACCACAACCGCGGGGAAATACGGTTAGCCTAAAAGGACAGCCCCAATTTGTTGAAATTGTCAAACCATTCCTTGTATACCACTTTGTGCCGACCGCAGCACATAAAAGGGAGTTTATAGCGGATTTATAGAGTGATAAATTATGTTCTGATAGTATAATTGTAGAGTACGGCGAAAGATTATTAAATCATGAGACAATACAAATGAATACGACTCCGGTCCATGCCGCGGTCAGGGCAACAATGCAAACCCAAATAGCAAACAATACTACCTACTCTGGAATACAAAACCAATGTTGTCCAAATGTAGAACTACCGTACTTTAGCAACAACTAATCGCATCTTTTTTCATTGTTTCAGAAGGATCTCTCGGACGATTGCGTGTTCGAGGAACATATAGAGGAGAACAACTACAATACATACTCGCGGAAACGCAATGGGAAGAAAACCTTCTTGGCGTTAGACAACAGGGGGAGAGCGCGACGGACGCAGATCCCCGTGAGTCGGCCGCTCGGCAACCTGTCCCCGTATGCGCTCTCATTGACGAGGCGGTGGGACGGACCCAAGCAGACGCACTGTCCGCCGCGGCGGCATCGAGGCAAGCTGAAGCGGCCTCCGCCGCGACATAGAAATTGTCATATACGCCTTCAGAAAGCAAATTTGAGGCATAAGAGGAAACACAAGAAGGCTAATAATCCCAAGAAAAAGCAGCGGCGTACGAAGATGAGAAGAAAACATGAGAACGGGACGACGACCACGACCGAGGTGACGTGGGACGAGTCGACGATGTCGACCATGTCTACCACGGATGTCGAGTTTTTTCGGTCGGCGACCGCGCAGGAGGCGGTCGGACGCGCGTGAGTCGGGCGCTGGTCGCGGTCGGGGCAGCCGTCGCGCTCGCACACTAGCACCGTTCCACACTTACACGTGCAAGAATCTCTGTATCATTCCTATTTAGTGCCGTTCCCACTGATACACGGAACGGCTCGTGAAATATTTACGACAAAGTAGCATTGCTCTCTTTACGAATGGCGCTCCAATTTAACTATCGAGAAAGTTGAAACCCGTGACGCGTTCATAACTAATGGTTGTCGAAACTTGAACTTCGTTTTTCCTTTATTAGTAGTAGTACGTACGAAACATAATACTCACTGTTGAGTTGGGCGGCGATGCCGTCAAAGTCGATACATGTTAACAATAAAATGAATGATATTATTCTACCAAAGCTACTGAAATTATCTATCTCAATTTATATTCCTAGTTCGCTTTAAAACGTAGGTTTATCGGCAAGATTCCAGTTGTTAGTTACTGTTACTTATCAAGAAATTAACGTAGATGATAAATTAACTTTATTCGATAATGACTAAACATTGATTGTTTATGACGTCGAGATTATCGTTGGGTAAGGTGGAACTGTGTTAGGAGAAGGCAAAGATTCCTGTCAATTAAAATTTAGCCTAAATACTTATCGTTTCGGAATCCCTCTCTCGAACGAGCATCGCTTCATTGACGTCCTCAGAATCAATGTTCATTTCTAACGTCTCTTTAATAGCTATATCTCTAAAAACATTAAGTAGCATTCGTGTAATATGTTTCTTTAATTAAGCTTAAGTTATTCGTTTAATGGAATTGATCGGAGCCCACTCGGCTCCATTACATATAACGTTTTAGTGCTCGCATGTCTCAAATGCTCGTAATTTTCCACATTTAAATAATGGCCTAAAAGGTTAGGTATTCAAATTAAGAAATTAACGCTCTATTCCTTCTTTGCGACAATCGTAAACACGACATTTAACATAATTTAACATCTGAATTAAAACATCGTTGGCTGCCATCACTGCTTACCTCGAATGCTTCAAAAACACGAAGAGAAGAAATTCCGAAACGTTTTTGTACTTAGATACGTGTGTTGAGGTGTAATTTCATAAGAAATTGACTGAAAATTGGACTGAGTAATGTAGTTTATGTTGGTTTCGGCCTAGGCTATGATAGGATAACGTAGTGCGGCGGACGGCATGCTTCTTTATTTAATTGTAAGTTATATTCGAGCGTCGGACGCGAGCGGCCGTGTATTAATGACTTCGAAACTATAATCGACATGGATAGAGTTCCCACGCGTGCCGGTGGCTTGGTGACACCATGCCTAAGTCACACCCCGCTGTGAGGACTAAACCAGTTCGAACTGGTGAATACGAAAAACGCTATAAAATTATAATTGCGCAATGCGCGTCTCCAGTACAAGCCCGCTCGTTTCGACTCGTCCAAAAATGTAGTGATAAACATTAACGGCGACGAAGTGACTATTAGTAAGTAGTTCTAAAACGTGTATCTAATTTGTAAATTTATTTATTTTCCATAGAGAAAGTCGTATTTTGTTAACGTTTTAGTTGATGTTTTTTATCCTCTCGTCCCCTTTAGTTCCAACCGAATGTAGATGTGTAGGATGTCATACGCTTGTACCTTTAGTGAGCCAATATTATTTGTATTATATTTTTAAGTCCGTTCGGTAACAATATGTGCTCTGTATGCAGTTGTGTATAGTGTGTGATGGAGGCATTTGCAAATATTGTGATTGAATGGATTTTACACGATTACATTCTCTTTAGTGATGTCCCTCGCAATCTGATTATGTGCGCAGATAATGTTGTAGCAGGTGTATCTTGTACTTGGTCAACGAACATTTTTTTTGCTTGCAACTCCATGTTTTCCGTGTAGCCGTAAATCTGAGGTAAAAGGTTAATTTTGTTCATAAATTATGCAAAACAGGTGTCCCACTTTCAGTTTTAGTCCATAATTAGTGACTGCCTATTTTGAATTTCTCTTGAATTCCAAGTTACGATAAGGTCCATTGAACAGGTTGGTACATAGACCGGTACAATATTATACTTGAGAGAAAACATGGCGACAAGGATCTAAACTAATGTTCGTTGCCTAAGATATTCAGGAGTTTTTGTGAATATATGCAGCAAGCTTTATGAATGTACCTACGTATGTTATACGAATGATATTTTGAATTTATTTATATGTATGTATAATATTTAGGTATCATATGAAAGCGACATGGAATACGTACTTAACGAAGCATTTACTCATCATATAATTAAACATTTTTATATAAAATAATCACGATCGTACCGATTCCTTGTCGTTTTCGTTTAAGTGAATAAATTATTCGATTCTCGGATTCGTTAAACTTGACTCGCTATTGTAAATGAATACCAATCGATCTTTATGTTAGTGTAGAAGCAGTATTTCGGTATTGTAAAAAATGTTCTCCGTTACAGTATCTAGTTTTTGTAGTTTTATATTGAATAGAGATTGTAAGAAACTTCAGCAGATGCCGATTGGTTATATTTTGTTCTCCTATACGTAATGTAACTGGCTTTGTAAAGAGGTGCCGTGTTTATCAAACTCATTCTCGCTGGTCGACAATAAATAAAAAAAAACATTGACAGTTTATTTTTTTTATTTGGTCGTTGGATAGCAGATAAGTGTCACTGTCATACCTGCATACAGCCTAATAGCGTAATTAAAATAAAATTAAACCTTAAATAAATAGAATATGCGAGAATCTGTGAGTTTGCATAACAATGTGCCGAGATGGTGTAAAAATATGAGTGTTATGTTATTTTAATGCCCATGTGCCATAATACTGCCCTCTGGGTTAGCCTACCGATTCAATAAACACAGTTAATTTTTCAGTTTCTATACTCAAGTACATAATGTCAAATATTGTTAAGAAATAAGGGGTTTATCCACTTTACAGTCAACGATGAACGATATGATGAACTTGTAGATAAAATATAAGAATATTCTTTGTAATAGTGGTGTAAATACCCCTTGTTTCTCGAAAAATATATATAAGAATGTCAAGAGGAGTCAAACAGTATTACTTAATTAATTAATTTCGATACGTTTTTACAATAATTACATACTTTAAAATGAAATGTTCGTGTTTGCTTAGTGCATTTATAAATGTACGTTTAAAAATAAATTCTGAATACCAACCTAATTTAAACATTAAAAAAAAGTTTTTGAAATTTGAATAATGAATTAAAAAAAAATATCTTTAGATGTTTTTTTTTTCTAAAGTAGAATTTTAAAATTTTACCTATTTACCTACTTAGTACTACTACTAAAAGAAAGATTGATCGAAACTTTTAGACAATAACTTTTTACAGCCTCTTATACCGACAAATAAATAAAAATGATTCTATAATCTCTGAGTTTTCTTTTTTTTGTCGTCACCATCACCCAAGTCGCCCAGCAGATGCGCGTTGTTGAGAGAATAGGTTCAAGGGTTCGATCCCCAAGACACAAATCGTCGGGAATAGTGCAAATCCGCGGAACTAGCATTGGATAATTCCGCATATCTGACATAACATAACATCACGCCTTTTCAGAGGTGTACATTACGACACTTAATGCCACTGTACAATGTAACACCCATTTTTCACTATTTATGTTATGAGTCCCATGTAATAGGGGATGAGCCTATTGCCATATATCAGGCACATTTCCAGACTCCGTGCTACTACTGAGATTTTTTTTAAAACCCCAGTAATACTTTACCCGACCCGGGAATCGAACCCGAAACCCCTTACCCGACAGTCGCACTTGCGACCACTCGGCCAACGAGGCAGTCGCAAAATAATCCCGCAAAATCTTAATTGGCTTCCACCGTCTTACATGAGTTTATTTCGACTCATTTTTAATAGGTATCTAAAGTTGCAAGAAACTTCAGAATCCCTCTGTGGTTCGAAACTAGTAGGTTACTTTTCTCAGTATATTCACGTGAGTCACTATTCACTTAACCCACGATTTTTAGTTAATTTAGTTAAAAATAAGCGTCAAATTCATTGAATTAATAAAGTATCTAATAGATTTATTAAGTTTAAACCTTGCCCTGTAAAACTGGATCTATTGCAGATATGCGGCCTTTACGTGCCTAGGGTAGATTCGCTGATTTGCACCATCCCCGACGATATAAGCGTACGGCGCGTCGCGTTCCACGTGCGCCTCAAAGATGTCGATTCGGAGTCGCGGAGAACCTAACGGGTAACCGGGGCTCCGGCTCGACGTGCAGGAGAAGGAACGGGGTGGTTTTTAGTCAGTAAGAGTCTGATACTCCCTCCCGCCTCACCCAGGCGGGAGCAGTCATTCGATGATGTTCCCACCTAAAAAAAAAATCCCCGACGATATAGGTAGTTATTCAGTTTTGATATTTTCAATATTAGCACTGAACTATGTACGATTTTGTCAGTATAAGTGGTAGTGGGTTTCTATGTTATCCTATATCGTTCACCACACAAGTTTACTTAGCATAATCATGTGATAGCTACAAATATCTCCAAGTACTCCAAGATCTTTTTTATGGTGGAAGCCGGTAAACGAGCAGACTGTTCACCTGATGGTAAACAATCGACGGAATGACGGTATGAAGCAAATGACGACGACGGCAATTTGAGGATTGTGGGTATTCGGGGATTTTAGAGACTGAAGAGGGGGGTAATTGGGCTTTCGTTAACCTCACTCACACGACGAACCACAACGCAAGTCTTTGGCTCTTAAGTATCTCCCACACTTAAGTATGGCCCTCCCACATCTAGATCAGAACAATAAATAATTATTCATCACATAGGTACCTACCGCAAATGTTAAGTAAACTTTATTATATCTACGGTAGGTAAGTACCTACCTATCAGAATCGATTAATCGAACTTGCGATCAGTAGTAGTCAGTCAACAAACTAAGTACGTACTTGTACCTACTTCTTCTATAAATAGAAATAAGGATATTCTATAAATAGATATTCAGAGAATATGTAGCAAAATTTATTCGCAGAAACATGTGATACAATGGATCTTAGTATAATTTTTAACAGTAGGTACAGTGTATTCTACCTTTTCCAGGCAGGCAAATGTTTGTTTATAGGTAGGTAATGTATGTATCTACATTATATAGAATATTTATCCAATTTCATTTGATTAATTATTACGCAATGTCAAAATATGATTGAATAATAGATAGGATCCTTAGGCATTAAAGACCTAAATTAGGTATTCTACATTGCCAAGGATTCTGCCTGCCTCCTGCCTCCATCCCAAAAGAAGTATAAGATTTAATGCTATAATCTTTTATTTTCGAAAAATAATTTGATATAATAATTATGTCTAGTAGGTCCGCCTCCATTGTGTAGAATAATCTTTTGATTGTTCAGCTGGACCGACTCAATTGTTCAATCGAATGAAATAACCGATTCATAGGTTAACCATTCGACCATATAGTCTCATCACAGGAAATGAAATCACATCGTCATCATCTACAGCCTATAGTGGCCACTGCTGACGAAAGGACTTTTCTCTCACAGAGAAGGTTTGAGCGTTAACCGCCACGCTCTTGCTCAATGCGCGTGCAATTGAAGTGCTGGGAATAAAATGTAAATGTTGTGATGTAATATTTTTTTCAAATAAAGAACCTCAAGTAAATATGTATTTTTTTAAGGTGTGAATATTTATATTCGCTATGAATTTTTTATTTACTTACCTATATTTTAAGTTGTATATATTTTCATTTAGTAATATGAAGTTAATTTTAATTTTATTTATGTTCATCTGAGAATTTCAATCTTATGATAAAATAAATTAGTACGAACTAATTAAAAAAAAATGTACCATTTCATGTGTCATTTCATTTCAAGGAAACCAATACATTTACAAATATTATATATCACATTATTCTCCTAAAAACTTATTTGAAATTAAAGAAATGTAAAAGTTTGATTAAAACACGAATGACGTATTGACGTAATGTACTTAGAGAATGAACCAAAATTTCGACATGTTTCTCACATCTTCGGTAGTATAGTGGTAAGTATCCCCGCCTGTCACGCGGGAGACCGGGGTTCGATTCCCCGCCGGAGAGATTCTTTTTGTGATATTTTTTTAATTTTGCAATATTTTAAACGAAATACTAGATCACCAACTTTATTTTTTTTCAAATATAATATATTTAATTAAAAGTTTTCATATTCTTTTATTTTACTGAATAACAACAGAACTTGCCTAACTGCTAACAGTTCTGTTGTTACCGGTAAAACAATTGTCGTACTAACAATGACTTTTAAAATTGTACACGATAATTATTACATTATTTATTCAGTTTCCAAAATAGGTACTACAAAACATTTTTCTTTTTCGAACTCCTTTCCTCGTTTCACGGCTTCCATTACCCTATTACCAAAAAACCCGAACTTATATATTTTTTAACTACAGTTTACCTAATATAAGTATGCGCCGCAGATTTTGAATTGATTCTTCTATAGAAAAAAATATATTGAACTTGCAAAGTAAAAGAATGATTTCTGTGAAATGAATGAAATAGTTACGCATCTCAATCGCAGTCAATGGAACGCGCCAACCATTGATTGTACTTCGCTTATTTTTACAATGTTGGCAGCACTCTGGAACGAGTGACAGTATCGGTGGCCAATGACAGTGCGTGAGAAAGAGATAGCAAGTAACAATTTTTAATACAAATGAAAGAGACAGATAGTAAACGAAGATCACTTGGACAGACCACAGGGTTATCAGCGACTGTACATATAGTTCTTATACCTTAAGCGGAAAGGTTCATATTTGGCATTTTAAAGTATTTCAGATGTTGGTAAATGTAATCAAATCGCGTTGCCGTGGAGTGGCGTCACTGCATATCGAATGAAGGTCGCTCGCTCGGCTCGTTTCATCGCTCGATGTTTCATTCGATCGCCATTTTGAAGAAGTGTTTCAACTCGTGATACTTTTGATTCGATACACGGCTATAATCGTTTCGATTCAATTCAATATCTATTTGATTTTCGGCGGCAAACTGACTATCAGTTTTATATCGATTCAATTATGAAGAAATGTTCGTCAGTGGTGTGGAAATTTTTTGAGAGGCTTGAGGAAAACAATAGATGTGTTGCAGTGTTGTGTAAATTATGTGAAACTCAATATAAATACTTTGGAAATACGACGAACCTGAGGGCTCACTTGATAAACAAGCACCCTATACAGTGGGAATTATCGCACAATGGAACATTGGATGAATCGCATTTCAAAATAGAGGATGATGATACAAATCAATCGTCGTCTACCCCTAAACGAAGGAAATATACGCCGAGGGCTCGCAAAGATAAAAACGTACGTTATTCAGTATCAGTTAATAAAGAAGATACAGCCGGATCGAGTGCTATGCCTAAAATTGAAATACAACGGGTACCTATGTATATTGTTATATTAGGTTATAATTTTCTTATCAGTTATTATTGAAACCGAATTCGCTATCGACTACAACTACAATGACTTATCGATTAGCGTGGTGATCGGTGCTGTTGATAAAATGATATTCACAAAATCGATTCGAGAGTTTCGATCGATAGCTTGTTTGTAATGACGTAACTGATAATCGATTTTGTTTGTGTTGATGTGTCTTGTTATGGCCAGATTGTGCTTGATAAAGTATTCAAGTTTATTTACAGCTTAAGCTTTTGTTGTAATGTGCACGTGTTATTTGTGCTGCGGTAAGAAAGTACTAACGGGATGATTAATTCATGATTATACAAATGTTCAATGTGATAGAGGTTATGACGCTATTCATGTTTACAAAATGTTGTTGTGGCAACCAATGTACTGAAATTAGTGTAAACTTTCAGCCAATAACAAAGTACCACGGATAGATGCATAATAGCTTCTATTGGTTATTCCTAGATAAAATAACACGCATTCGTGGTATTTTAACACAGTACCATTTAGTAGGTTAGGTATAGGTCAGTGTATCCCGCCAAAATATGGTTAAAATAGGTTTTCTTACAGTCATTATAATTGCGTTTAGTTAATTATTCGCCGATAATGTTTGAATGTTGATGTTATAATTCATTATTTGTGTAAAATGTTTCATTTGCCTAATAGTAATTCAATTTCCAGGTTGATGTGTTAGAAAACACAGATTCTGACATAGAACAGGAAGAAGGTAATGAGGCAACGTTAAACTTGGTGAGACAAATGCATGCCGGGAACACAGACGAAGAATGGTTGGAGGAGGATCCATACCAGATCACACACATTGAGACTTATGAGCCAAAAAGAAAGAAAATGAAGTACAGGAAGATAAAACGAGAAGTAGCCTCGCCAACAGGTCTACCTGGCTTCTATGTTGCACCTAAAGCAGAAAAAACTGTTATATACGAAGACTCACCAAAAAAGGATGAATACTCTGTATTCGGAGAGTATGTAGCCAATAAACTAAGGAAATTTAAAACTCCTCGGACGAGGGGGAACTTGCAGCAGTTAATTACAACTATTCTATGGCAAGCGGAGTATGGGTTGTATGATAATGCGGATGCTGTGAAAAGGGTACTTATGTACTCAATTCAGTCTCCAGAGCCTGAGCCAGCAGCTTCGGTAGACTTTGAGACTCAAATACAAGTACAAGAAGAAGTTGTTGAACACAGAGAAGACCCTATCCAAAGTAATGAGGTTGATACAGAAGTATAGTAATGGTATATTTTATTTAGGTTAATTTTATGGTTACAGAATATTATATTAAAGCTTCCTTCCAAATTCTGGTTTTATATTCATTTATGTACTTACATAATAGTAAACTTGATTCTTGATTCTTGACATTATTTTATATTATTAAAATTATTTTTAAATTTTATAAAGTAAGCCATTTACTTTTCTGTAATCCCTTTGGTATGATTAATTTTGTATATCTTTATTTATGTACATTTTAATTACACTGACTCACACTGTGACCTATTCAGTGTGTGGTATTTTATAACCTTTTATGTGCCTAAAACGCGGATCCACCCAAGACAATGTTTTTTTATGGATTAGGAGGCAAACGAGCAGACGGATCACCTGATGGTAAGCGATCAGCGCCGCCCTTGGACACCCGCAACACCGGTCATAGGTGCATTTTGTATTTGTATTGTAGTATATTGGTGCACTCAACGGGTTAATCCCTCAAATTAAATATTTATGCAGTCCATGCTTCACCTTCTGTTTAGTCCAGGGGTAGGTTAGGGTTTGCAATTACAATTCGACACCTACTTTTCACCTGCAAAATGGGTGAGCATAATTATATTATTCCAAAGTTCGTGGTATTTTTGAGAAAATTAACAAAAATACCACGCTAGACCCGGGATTCGTACCGTCGAGAATCTTAATTAAAAATCGTATGATACTTATGGGTAGTACTTTGTCCTGTTTAGAAATTGCAGGACTCCTTGTTCTATTGTTGAATTTAGGATTCGTCCAGACAGTCATCTTAATTTCTCGACTTAATCTCTCGGCTCAAGTAGGTATACGTGTTAATAACGTGTAATTTTATTTTTTTGTCATATTCAGTTCATTTAGCAGCTAGAAGTTATGTCGTTTGACTTAACCAACATGGAGTTAACGCATTAGTTAATTGCTACATTACCTAATTATTAGGTATCTCCTAACTTCCTAAGCCCTAATTGTACCGTCATGAACATTTACTGACGCACCTATATCATACTATCCATCTGCCCAATACGTGGCTAAACCTACGCATTCCGATCACGTGAGAATTCGTAGAGAAACTGTTTTTTTTTCAGTTATTTTTATATTCTCGCAAACGGTGTCATCGTACTGATAATGTTTTCTTTGCGGACTTTACAACATTGTTTGTGGAGCTGGATTATAGAGATTAAATTGTTTAAACTTAGAATATTTAGTTTTTAGTTCACTCAAAACCCCAGCTGGAATACTAAGACTTGTAAAGGGGTTTGTCATAATCCCAATGGTTGGCTGGCGGGAATCTTGGACTGCTGTCCATACTGCGGGGGTCAGTTACAATTTTAGGCATTACCCAGGTTTACTATCTAATGTGCAGTGGCGTAGTATGAATCCCTTTATGAAGCGTAAAGATGAGAACATAAAAATTATGCATAATATAGGTACCTATCTACTGGTGTGTGAAAATTTTAATTTTTGCTTATGCATTTTGGGGCTCCCGGACTACTAGGCTCCTTATAATTGATACGGCACTAGCTACGCCCCTGCTTATATAAGGTGCCTAGGAGCTAGTATTTTAGGTACTATAGATACTTCAGTAGCAACGTAGTTTACCGGTCGACTGATGATTAATAAGTCCGATGGAGTGGTAAGGGTAGGTAAGTTGTGATTGATTACCGTAGCGTGCATGCAACACTGTAGAGATATCACAAATACATTTGCAGATGCAGAAAACAGAATATTTGCGCCGTATTTTACAAAATCAGCGTAAGGCGTGTGATTGTGTGAGCATTTCCTTTTAATATTCCCAGTTCCCACTCCATTATACGACATTTATTACAATGCAGGCAAAATCGCAGGTCAAATGGAGTTGAAACCTCTAATTAAAGACAAGGATCTATATTGGTCCTTCATAGTTCATGGACTACATGGTCTTAATGAGTGGCTGGAGTACGAATGACGTTTCAAATAATAAATGAATGGTGTGAAGTATTTGGGTCGGCTGTTCAACTCTATAGAAGTACCTATAGGTACAAAAAGCATCAAGCTATGCAGATCCACTATAAACTGACTGTTGTTAGTGCGGAAAGATCATACGAAACCAGGCCATGATAACGTGGTTTGTTAAAGTTGATGTGTAGGAGATGAGGATGCAACTTTATTGTGCAACTAAATAGATATAATGGATGCGGTAAACTAGAACGGTATTTGGTTATATCGGTTGTTACAATATTAATTGTAGTTTGCGAGTGGATTACTCCCATTATTAATAGGTACCACAGAAATCTTTAATATATCTGTGATAGGTACCTACTCCAATTTTAAAGGGGATCCGGATAAGGCCGGCTGTAAAAGACGCGTTGGACAGAAACCAGATCATCCGCTGCATATGCAATCCTGATGCTGACCACGATCCTCAGACATGAGGGAACGACTGAAGAGAGAGAAGGCCGGATTTAGAAAGACTACCTATCTACGTTTTATTCTACGACTGAAACAATTGCCTTGTTGGCCAAATACTCGCAAATGGAACAGTTATCGGGTTCGATTCGATTACCGTTTATCGTATAATAATTATGTGCAATTGTGCACCTCTGCCTACCCGTTGCGGATAGCGTGATGTTATGCTAAGCACTGATAAAAATAGGTAACCATAATAAATGAAGAAGGGTTGGTGCGTGATGTCGATGTTCACTTGTTTCACTTGATATACTTACCTAGGTACTTTTTTTAAGGGGAAAAAACCATTGGTTGACTGCTCTCGCCTGGGTGAGGCGGGAGGGAGTGTCAGACTCTTACTGACTAAAAACCACCCCGTTCCTTCTCCTGCACCTCGAGCCAGAGCCCCGGTAACCCGTTAGGTTCTCCGCGACATACCTAGGTACTTAGGAATTAGAATAAACTAAGTAGTTATTAAAATTTCAAAACTGAAAAACTAGTTCACTTTTCCTCTTGATCAAAGTTATTCGACTGATTTGTAAGTATATTTAAGTCATTTTGTGGGTAGTGTTAAATTATTTCAATTTGTATAGAAAATAAATTGTCTGCTGAACTTCCAAAATTATGTAGGAATGCAATTATACTCTAAGTGAAGTTTAACTCTTATACCTTTCAAAATAAGGTACATTCTTTATTGCGAATCGGTTATCAGACTTGGATAGCACGCGCGCATGCGTTAATCGACTTACCTACTATTGCTATCTTTCTTATTTACCTCGCTCTATCTCTTTCGTACACGTCAATCCACCGTTCTACCAACATGGCCACGATAAGCCGTACTTCGACTAAATTATTTAGAAAAATACAATTTTCACCTGTTTTAACGCGTAATTTTAGTAATGTGAAAAGTGATAATTCGTTAAAAAAGATTTTGACGACCTGTGTGTGTGTTGCTGGCGGGGGATTGGCATTTTATGCTGTAAATAAATATGGGAGGAAGAACACGGTTTATGCTCTCAAGGCGAAGGTTAGTAGTTATTTGATGTATTATTCATGTATTTCTGCACTATTAACGCTATTATGACGCGCACAAATACGTATTCTTTGTTATCCAATAGGAAACATCTTTATAAAGGTTAGTTTATGTCATAGTTTTTTATTAAAAACGCAATACCGAGACATTGTTTATAAATAGCACCTACGAATTTTGACATTTGTGCGAACGTTCGGAAACACGTTCCGAAAGGACACAAAGTTGTACGTTTTAAAATAAAAAAATCATCGCTTTAATTTTTAACAACACTGTACGGTGATCTAAGCAGGCTATTTTTTTTATATGTGATTTGCCGACGTTTGGCCATTATCTCGCCTGGTGGTAAGCGATGATGCGGCGTACTATGGAGTAAGCAACCTTGTACACTTGGGCCTTGAAGACACCCACTATTATGTATAACTATTTAATGGAAAACTATAATTAATAATTATACCTGCATAATTATATTTAAATTGCGGTGGCAATAAAATTTACCATCTTATAATAGCTAATGTACTATCATGGTCGCATAACGTCACCCGTATTATTTTTCCTAAAATGGCATACAGAATAACCATATCCTCACCTGTTCCTTGCTGGAGTTGACCAAGGACATTGAAAAAAAGGCGGACGTAATGTCACTTAGAAATGATTGAAGCACCAAAATGTCAGTGGTGTATTTATGTGTGCGTGTACTTGCAACACCGTAATTTATGAAGTGTAATGACGGGCCATGTCATGCGACAGTTGTCCTTCGTGTCATCGTGTGTCTATTCTGCCTATAAGTCTATAGAAGCCAGGTGCCACAGTCGTTGTTTTAAGAGACTATGTCCGCCGTACGTTTTATTCAGACGGTTTTTTTTCAACGTCCTTCGGGTAAACAGGGACAATGAAACACCAATAACAATTCTGGTATACGTATAGGTAATTAGGTACCCAAGTAAAATACCTACATATTTTGCTTCGTATTCACACACAACAATAACAATTATTCAGACTGCTATTGCATAAAAAATAAAAATTAAAAATGAGTAAGATTTCGAGCCGCCAAACGCAAACTACCGCCGTGCGATGCGACTTCTACTCAACATTGCTATTTACTAACATATATACCTACCTAGTTTATTATTCTACTATACCTAGTGCCCATCTGCCCAAGTTAAGATTATTGTGATACATCCTTTTTTTAATTCAAATTCTATCGCATTGACACATTTGTTCCATATTGTTGGCACCCCAGCACTCCCTCTAATCGTCTATGATAAATAATTCAAAATTCCCGTGTTCCTATACTAATGGAATCGATTAATATCGAGCATCGGCATGAGAACTCGGTAGGCGATAGTTATTTTTTTAAGTTAACACGTGTTTAACAATTTAATGAGTTCCTCTGGTGGTGGTGAGTGGTTAATAAGACAGGAGAGTAATTGCTCGAATCGTTTAAGGGTCTCGATTTTTAGTGTGAAGTTTGTTTTTTTTTTAATTGTAGTGTTGACGCCGATGGTAGGGGTGTTTTGATTAATCGATTTTTTGGATGTTGTTTTGAAAAGAGTGATAATTATTCTTTGTTTAATTTAAGAAATCATTTAGTTATTGTCATTAATGCAAGCGTTTCTAAGACTAAGTAAAATATTAAATAGTGTGAAGAAGCTGTACTTAATACAACGGATTCAAGAATCAAAACTTTATTGTAAAATACTCATGGCGCGCGTCGATGGTCAATAAACATCTCGTATTCGAGAATGAATATCTCAATATACACATCCTTATTGAGGATAACGACAAATAGCAACACATTTACTTACAAAGTTACAAACGTATCTTCATTGCTATAAATGAGTAATTCTGATAAAATGCCCTACGGTTTCTTAAGGCGTCTTTCCACTGATACTAACCTTTAGGTTTTTAAGCATTGTTTCAAGTATTTTTCCTACTAAAAAATACGAAGTGCCAGATTCCATTGAACCCTAATATCGCACACCTAGATCTACACAGGCCCAACTCAAAAAAGCACTTTTTTCAGAAAAGGCGAAAAATTGATTTTTTTATGGAATAGGAGGCAAACGAGCAGGCGGATCACCTGATGGTCGCCGACCCTGGACACCCACAACACCAGAGAAGTCACAGGTGCGTTGCCGGCCTTTTAAAAAGGAATACCTACGCTCTTTTCTTGAAGGTTTGAAGGTCGTATCGGTTCGGAAATCATCAATCTCAAAGGGGTAGGCAGAGGTGCACATTACGGGACTTAATGCCACTGTATAATGTAACACCCACTTTTCACTATTAATGTTATGAGTCGCATGTAATAGGGGGTGAGCCTATTGCCATATACGGCTCATTTCCAGACTCCGTGCTACTACTGAGATTTTTTAAAAACCCAGTAAAGTATTATTAGGCAAAGTATTGCTTGACCCGGGAATGGAAACCGAGAACCCTTACCAATAAGGCAGTCACCTCTAAAATAGAATTCAGAAAAATAATTTTAGTTATTTACCTATGTTGTAAAGTCAGCCTAAGCTTTGGTATTAAAGATATGTTTGATGGGACAACAGGCTTAAAACAGGAATATTTTCAATATAAATTACTTGTAAAATGTACAGGAACATGATAGTTATTTTGATTGGAATTAACCTTAGGATTTACGGTATCATAGTCTTGGTTGTATGTGTTTCTTATGTGTTTTATGTACTCAGAAAGGAGGTTTTACTTATCTTGTTGTGTATACCTGGATTAGTATTGTCTAAATTACTTTTGGAAAGTAAGAACAGGACAATAACTTAGCCGTATGAGGACTTATATACCTCTATAAGAAGGAGTTTGTTCTAGAAAGTAGGCTCTAGTTGGCTTTGTGACTTAGCGTATTTGTCAATAATATTCAATTTAATATCGATGTAATAAATACAATTGGCTTACAATAAGCGTTTCCTCATTATTTCTATCTTTGCAAGGGGTTTTATGATCATGGATTGGAAACATTTTCTGAAAGACATGTTTAAATTTTTCTCAGTAAAAATACTACGTAAGTACTCAATCGGCGCGATTACGATAAAGTTAACTTTAGGAGTGAGATTTTGAAGTATGCTGTGCTTTAGTAACATACGAATTATTAAAAAAAATCTGATATATCCAATTTCACTACAATTTATTTATGATACTAGCGACAATATGAATGTATTATACATATAAACTTTCCTTAAGAATCAATGTATCTATTAAAAAACCGCATCGAAATCTGTTGTTTAGTTTTAAAGATCTAAGCACACATAGGGACAGACAGACGACGGATAGCAACTTTGTTTTATACTATGTAGTGAAAAACCGCATCAAAATCTGTTGTTTAGTTTTAAAGATCTAAGCATACATAGGGACAGACAGACGGCGGATAGCGACTTTGTTTTATACTATGTAGTGATGCACTCTATGAACTTAATATTTTATACAAAGCCAACAATTTATTGCTAAATAAACACCACACAAGTGTCCATTAGCCTCTAGTTTTAACCTCCATGACCTAAATAAAAGACCTAAGCTTTTACATATATAGTGATAATTCAGGCTTTGATGCCACCCGCCCTTAGTCACTTACCCTACATATGAGCCCTTTATAAATATTATGGGAAGATAACGCCATGTTCTACACGTTAATACGTTTAGTAAACGCATTATCATATGAGTTATGCTTGTAAACTTAGGTGAAATAGGCACAACGCAATATAATTTTCACCTGCAGTTTCACCTGTGTTAGGGCTCGTACACAAAATTGCGATGCGATTTCGTGCTACAAGTCGTCTCCCAGGGTGCTAGTGGCACGCAGTGCATATCAGTGCTAGTGGCACGGATTCTGGAATTGTACCCTGTATATGGCAATAGGCTCACCCCCTATTACATGGGACTCATAACATAAATAGTGAAAAGTGGGTGTTACATTGTAAAGTGGCATCAAGTGCCGTAATGTGCAAACTGTCAGTCTGTTATGGTAAATAGTTTCACAACCTGAAGAAGGTATCATCAATCACATCGATAACTATAATGTCAAATAAATAGGTCCCAATAAAACTGCAATAAAGGAAGATCATAAAAAATCAAGTTTAGTACTGTGTACACTATCAACACTCGATACTCAATTTAACAATGAATGACACAGTTTAACAATAAAGGCCATATTAATCGGATCAATCGAGCTACGGTCTTCCACTCATGCGCAAACGCAAGTCGTTATCTGGATAGCAGTGATCGACTGGTCTCGATGACTTTTTACATTGCAGGAGTTCAACAAAGCGATGGTAAATTGGAACAATTAATTGAGATTGTTTTTTTGAACTTTTGTTTCATTTCTTTGTTTGAAATCTTGTACCCCCCCCCCCCCTTAAGGTTTTCTCCTGTGTCGTGAGTTCGTGATCGGTGAGTGATTTTCGGAACATTGGGATTGAGAATAGGTCCTGTGACAGGGCCGATGGCGTTATATCCACGATAGCCGTATCGTCTATCGTTTAAGATTTTTGGTAGGTCATAATTCTTGGAGTCTATGTAAAAAAGAACTTAATCTTTACTTTTCAAGCTAGGAAGCTATAATTATACATTTCTGTATATCTGCTTATTAATGTTTTTTCGCGTTACTATGACATTGATGATAAAGGACGTACTTGCAACATCGGCGCCAGATTATCCGCAAATCCTGTCATTATCCCTGTGCATACGCATTATTGCTGCGATGCACAGAGTATAATTAACGTCGATAAACGCTTTATCGTGTCGATTAAGAGAAAGTGTGTCAATTTTATGATTTTTTAAAGAAATCTTCAAAAGATTAATGCTTTTGTTGTCTGATACAGACCACACAATGATAAATAAATTATTCCTCTTTAGGTATGTCTGTAAAATATCAATTTGTCATGCTTTTACGTTTAAAAGAAAAACATCAATACTT